TACTGTCCTACAAACCTCTGCACTTGGAGGCCCAACAACGTCGGTTGTGTAGTAGACATCATATTGTCCCCAAAAAGGCCAAAAAAAGAAGGCCCCAAAAAATAAAAATAAAAAGGGGCAATACTACTTTTTTCCACACTTGTGCTTCGAAGTAGCACCATGATCTTCATGATAGAGAGTCTCCTATGTCATCACTTTCATATACTAGCGGGAATTTTTCATTATAGAACTTGGCTTGTATATTCCAACGATGGGCTTCCTCAAAATGCCCTAGGTCTTCGTGAGCAAGCAAGTTGGATATGCACCCACTTAGTTTCTTTTTGTTGAGCTTTCATATACTTATAGCTCTAGTGCATCCGTTGCATGGCAATCCCTACTCACTCACATTGATATCTATTGATGGGCATCTCCATAGCCCGTCGATACGCCTAGTTGATGTGAGACTACCTTCTCCCTTTTTGCCTTATCCACAACCACCATTCTATTCCACCTATAGTGCTATGTCCATGGCTCACGCTCATGTATTGCGTGAAGATTGAAAAAGTTTGAGAACACCAAAAGTATGAAACAATTGCTTGGCTTGTCATCGGGGTTGTGCATGATTTAAATACTTTGTGTGGTGAAGATGGAGCATAGCCAGACTATATGATTTTGTAGGGATAACTTTCTTTGACCATGTTATTTTGAAGAGACATAATTGCTTAGTTAGTATGCTTGAAGCATTATTATTTCTATGTCAATATTAAACTTTTGTCTTTAATCTTTCGGATCTGAATATTCATACCACAATTAAGAGAATTACATTGAAATTATGCTAAGTAGCATTCTACATCAAAAATTCTGTTTTTATCATTTACCTACTCGAGGGCGAGCAGGAATTAAGCTTGGGGATGCTTGATATGTCTCCAACGTATCTATAATTTTTGATTGTTTCATGCTATATTATATCCTGTTTTGGACATTATTGGGCTTTATTATACACTTTTATATTATTTTTGGGACTAACCTATTAACGGGAGGCCCAACCCAGAATTGCTGCTTTTTTTGCTTATTTTAGGGTTTCGCAGAAAAAGAATATCAAACAGAGTCCAAACGGAATGAAACCTTCGGGAACGTGATTTTTGGAATGAACATGATCCAGAGGACTTGGACCCCTACGTCAAGCAATCAACGAGGAAGGCACGAGGTAGGAGGGAGCGCCTACCCCCCTTCCCCCCAGGCGCGCCCTCCACCCTCGTGGGGCCCACGTTGCTCCACCGACGTACTCCTTCCTCCTATATATACCCACATACCCCCAAACTACCAGATACGGAGGCAAAACCCTAATTCCACCGCCGTAACTTTCTGTATCCACGAGATCCCATCTTGGGGCCTTTTCCGGAACTTCGCCAGAGGGGGTATCGATCACGGAGGGCTTCTACATCAACACCATAGCCTCTCCGATGAAGTGTGAGTAGTTTACTTCAGACCTACGGGTCCATAGTTATTAGCTAGATGGCTTCTTCTCTCTTTTTGGATCTCAATACAAAGTTCTCCCCCTCTCTTGTGGAGATCCATTCGATGTAATCTTCTTTTGCGGTGTGTTTGTTGAGACCGATGAATTGTGGGTTTATGATCAAGTTTATCTATGAAAAATATTTGAATCTTCTCTGAATTCTTTTATGTATGATTGGTTATCTTTGCAAGTCTCTCCGAATTATCAGTTTGGTTTGGCCTACTAGATTGATCTTTCTTGCAATGGGAGAAGTGCTTAGCTTTGGGTTCAATCTTGCGGTGTCCTTTCCCAATGACAGTAGGGGCAGCAAGGCACATATTGTATTGTTGCCATCGAGGATAACAAGATGGGGTTTATATCATATTGCATGAGTTTATCCCTCTACATCATGTTATCTTGCTTAAAGCGTTACTCTGTTCTCTTCAACTTAATACTCTAGATGCATGCTGGATAGCGGTCGATGTGTGGAGTAATAGTAGTAGATGCAGGCAGGAGTCGGTCTACTTGTCTCGGACGTGATGCCTATATACATGATCATACCTAGATATTCTCATAACTATGCTCAATTCTATCAATTGCTCAACAGTAATTTGTTCACCCACCATAATACTTATGCTCTCGAGAGAAGCCTCTAGTGAAACCTATGGACCCCGGGTCTATTTTCCATCATATTAATCTTCCAATACTTAGTTATTTCCTTTTCCATTTATTTTACTTGCATCTTTATTTCTCTTTATCATAAAAATACCAAAAATATTATCTTATCATATCTATCAGATCTCACTCTCGTAGGTGACCGTGAAGGGATTGACAACCCCTTTATCGTGTTGGTTGCGAGGAGTTTATTTGTTTGTGTAGGTGCGAGGGACTCGTGCGTGGCCTCCTACTGGATTGATACCTTGGTTCTCAAAAACTGAGGGAAATACTTACGCTGCTCTACTGCATCACCCTTTCCTCTTCAAGGGAAAACCAACGCAGTGCTCAAGAGGTAGCACTTGGCCCCTCGCGAGGATCTTGAATCGTGCTGCTGAAACTAGGCCGTACCGGGCTGCTGGTGGAGCCACACCATGGGCCGCAGGCAGGCAAGTCTGGGTACCCCTGTTCCCAGGACGCCGACAAGTTCAAAGAAAAGTTCAGCCACCTGTGTCGCTCCCCTTTTAATGTTTCCATTGGCATCGATCATCGTTGCATCTGTGGAGTGTGCCACTGGATATGTCTCCTTCTCAGACCAGTCTCCCTGCTCCCGTTCTGTCTGTGCATGGCCAGCACCCCTTTCGGAGCATCCACCCCCTCTGTTGCCTCTACCTCCACCCGCTCCCGGGCCCCGACCAGCGCCCCTGCACCATTCTGCCCAGAGGTTTTTGAAGACCAAAGTTGATGAAGCATGTATGCCATTGCCACACTCTTTATAAAGGTGCCCGAGGAGGCCGCAAACGGCGCACCAATCCCCGGTAAGCTTCGTAGTCGACTATAAAGATCCCCTATTTTTTCTTGATAACCAGAGAAATGATATTCTTCAAGGGTTTGGTGACATCTATCTTCACCCTTACACGGAAAAAGTTCCTCTCGAAGTCTTGAGATTTCTGCTCAGCATAAACAAATTAACCCACTGTTGATGCCAAAGATTTTATCAAGTGAAAGAACAAGTCTGGTTGGTCATGAATCTGGATCCACATCTCAATATCGTTGACCTATTGTTGAGGGTCTAGTGTATCCATCATACGGTTCATTCACTACAGCCTTGCCATTGAACATCCAAGGCCCTTCTTCCATTACTCTTTCCAGTCACCCAAACACAAGAATTGAAGAGTATAGAGATTATCCTCAAGTGGCCCGAATTTTACCTCTCGGGCGTGGTCCCGGGCTACCCTCATGTTTTTATAGAACCAATACTAGGAGTAGGGCTTGGTCATGTGGACATGCGCGATCATCATCCATCTTGTAGCATCCTCTGGGATGTGGTCATCCTCCACAACAACATCATTCAGATCATCCTCGCCGAGACCCAGCTCCTTCATCATCTTCTCCATGTCACTCAGAGTCGCGCGCGATGTCGAAGTCGATCTCTCCATCAGATTCTCTTGCTCGTGAAAAAACCTTGGTACCGCAGGCAGGAGAAACCCTAGTCACGCTCACCTAAGACCACGACGAAGATGTCAAAGGGTGAGGGAAGGGGATCGAAGATCTCCACGAGGAGCCACAAGCATCGTTAGGGGAGAGGAACCCTAACGAGAGGGAACTTACGCGTCTATTTTTTGGTGGCTGCAACAAATCATCCGGATGATTTCCTAGGGAAATCAGTCGGGTCGGGCGTTTTTGGATTCATCCCCTCACAGTTGTTGGATCTGGTCAACGCGTCGGACAAGTCCTTCTCCTCTCATCGTAGACGCAGCAAAAGCAATGACCGTGTCGTCGTGGGGAAGAAGCACCGCCTGGCTCGTAGCAGGAGTCGCGCCCCTCGCCGGTAGCGCAACGACGCTCCACCGGCGAGCACCGCCATCGGCTCGGCGGTGCTCCATCACAACACCCGAACGCCAGTCGCATGCTTCGCTACGGTACCCCACCGCGTGGTGGTGCTCCATCGGGCACCCGAACGGCCGTCCATGCTTCGCTGTAGCGCCCACCACGTGGTGGTGCTCCATCGCAGCATCGGCTACTGTAACATTTCCCATTGCAGCACCTGATGGCCGTCGGCGAAGCTTCAATGCAGCGTCGCCGCTAGGGCGGCGGAGCTCCATCATAGCACCCCGACGGCCGCCGCATGCTCCACTGTAGCGCCCCGCCGCGCGGGTGTTGCTCCATCACAGCACCGGCTACCGTCGCATCTCCCATAGCAGCACCCGATGGCCGTCGGCGAAGCTTTAGTGCAGCCCCACCACAAGCGCGGCGGTGCTCCATCGCAGCACTGACGACCTCCCCCCACACACGTGTCTTAGCTCCATCACAATATCCCGCTACGCGTCGGTGGCTTCACTGCAACACTCCCACCTGCAGCAGCGGCCTGATTTGTGCGTGACGGCAGGACACGAGCTGCCGGAGCGGAGAAATGATGAGATCCATGAGCGGGGGGAAAAGGTAAGGGATGAAGCAGAGGAAAACATGTGGGTTGTGCGATGTGTAGTTCGTGCGAAGGGATAAGGAGAGTGGACAGCGGTGCGCGTGACACGTGTTGAGCAGAAGGAGAGGTTTACGGGAGGAAGAAATCAACCTGTTGAAAGCAAACGTTTTCCTTTTTTTAGTGGGGGAGACGTCTTTTTTTTCAGGGGTAGGCGTCTATTTTTCTTAGGCATGCTGCTCAGGTCACCAGGCCCATAATCTTTAGGCCCATTCGTTCCGGAGACTCAGTTGTCCGTACTCGTTAACCTCGTGCTCC